TCTGCCTTATCTACATACACAAGAAATAGCATTTGTCGTTTTTACAAGTATATTTTGTCGGTCAATTGCAAATGCCACTGAAAAAGCGACATTTGTGTCGATTTTTAGTTTAATGAATTTGCCGTTTCGACAAGACACTGGAACCTTAACCACATGACATAGTTCACTTTAAACTACGAACTAGGTATTTGTGAGACTTGAAGATGGTGTAATACACATAAATCTTCTTCTAACAACTCACTTTTGCAAAGGATAAAGGAGATAAGAGGTCCTAATCCAGGGATCAAGTTTTCCGAGACCTAGTGAACTCGATTAGCTGCTTTACTCAAATCAGTGCTAGATCATCTCCAATTTACACACAGAAAATTAACTTGAGCAGTATCCTTAGCGTATTCCTCGTCAAATAGAGACAGACTATCAAAATTCGAACTGGGTGATTTATTTGTGGGCTTTGCTGCGCCAGGTGATCTCGGATAGCCATTCTAGCAGGGTAATAATGACCACTTGAGTGGGGGTTTGATGTGTAGACAGAATATGCAAAGAGATTTGAGTTTAATTAACTTTCTATGTAGGGCGTCAATGTTTTTACACCATCGTCACTTGGCAACGCAAAACCACATTGCTGCTTCTTCCGCCTCAGCACATCTACTAATTAGGTCTAATAGACGACGCCCCTTGACGTCGCAATTACCCCCTACGTAAAAACCCTCGAAGCATTATCATACCTCACCTGTACACCACATGGTCATTATCCTCAAAATCCTGATTCAATTATAAATCCACAAACAAAATTAGTTGCTACAGCTCACCTTATTTTAGTAAGTAGAATGGAATGGTCGTTGAACCCTCCAAAACGGTTTAGCCTAAAATATCCAACTGTATTGACGTTTGTTTCTGTGATTTTATTTATGTTAAAAAAATATTTAACTTCTTTTTTCTAAATTAACAAAAGAAATTGTTTTCTTTTTAGATTACTATTGTGAGTAACAACCGCTTACCCGCACCCTGCATTTGATTTAACCCTACCTAAACTACGGCGGATCACTTATGAATGCCTCCTTAAAGCAGCAATTTCCTGATCCTTTACACTAAGACCTATGACATGTATACTTGGCATGAAGCTAAAACCCTTGTCTTCTTTCTTTTCCTCCCTTCCATTAGTGATAGGTAACTTTTCGATAGATAACGAGCGACTGTAACACGCTAAACGGATGCAGCCACATAACGCTCTACTAATGAACACCTCCTAATCGTCACTAAAAACAGACTGCCTTCAAGTCATGACTTTAAAATAATCTTTGCATTCTAGCCTATAGTGCGGCCCAGGTTATTCCCAACTTGTCTCTTACTGATAGTAAGTACCAATAATAAAACTGCACCATCGGGAGGTACCTCTCTTGATTAAACAGACACCCGATAACCGCTTGAGTGTTTTTGTCATTTACAACACTTTTCACTTCATACTTGCCAGTTGTGTATTTTATACCTTCCTTTCCCTTTTTAGCTTTTGATGAGCCAATGCGCGACTTGTCATGCAAGTTCTAAACCGTTAAATTATAATTACTTTTGCAATTTTACTATTTGCACCACTCCTTTGCTCAAGACTGATGCAAAACCAATCTTCTCTTGTAGGTCTTGCTCTGAAAAAGTATATGAAGAAGAAAGGTGGGTATTTTGTTGATTTAAGCTCCGTATTCATTGCTTGGTGGGCTCGATTAGGTCACGACAGGATGCCCCAAATAGGTTCCATTTTCAGGGAAACACTCATGCCTTTATTGTTGAAACATTTTCGCCTAATCACTAATGTGTTGCTTTACTATCCAGGCAAAAGTTGTTGCTGCTGCTGTTGCTGCTGCTGGAGTGACTCTAGTTCCAGCTCTAAGTCCTGTTCAAGCTGTACTTGCCCATGCAAATCCTCATCTACTTCCTCGTCTTCCTCGTCTTCGTCGTCGTTGTCTTCATCCTCATCTTCATCTTCATCGTCATCATCTTCGTCTAAATCATCGAGCACTAGTTCCTTTTCTTCCATTTGCACTTGCTCATCGACAACATCGTCATCATCGAAGTCGTCATGTTCGTCATCGTCATCATCATCGACTTCCTGCTGTTGTCAATGCCATCAGCGCAGATCAAAGAGCACAAAGCGCTGCAAGGGTCAGTGATCCATTACTGCATCATTTTAGATTTTTGTCCCAATCGCTGCATTTAAAGTGTAAGGTTGTATATTATCAAAATATACAGAGTAATTTATTCTCATGATTGTCTTTTCCTTTATTTTGACTTTAGATGAAAAGGGTAAGTGGATGTACTACGGCACCTTTTACCATTTAGAAAAAAGTGTCGTATATTTTGGCATTTCAAAATGTAAACTAAAACCTTTGCGCTGTCCGCTACCATCATTGCATACATGTGACATTCTAATTTTCGCTTTATCCAAAAGCTTTATCAAATCGCCTCTGAAACAGGCGAATTATTCTAGAAGGATCTTGGTCTGAGGGAAAATACACTGTTTTGAATTTTGGAGCTGCATTTAAAATGGTCACTTTTATGTTGCTAGGATTGGTGTCGGACTAAACGGTTGTGGATTGTTCTCCTCAGCTGTAATTACGTTAACTTTGGAAAAGTCCACAATAACCAGGGTCCGTAGGGCCCAAGTCAAGATTACATCATAATGCCTGAGGAAGGCAACCCGATGTGGTGTTCCGGCCTACAATCGGCATAACTTATTTGAGAAGAAGATGCTGAGAACTCTACCAGCCGCCATGCTAAAAAATAGGCACCCTGCACTCAGCTAAACACTTACTAGATTAGGAGCATGTTAATTTTCTTGAATACTCCCAGACCATTATCTAGTCATATTAAGTATTAAAGATGAAACAATAAAATCGTCTGCCTAATGGGCTGCTTACTAAGCAGTGGACTCTACCCCTTTGATTTTCAGGCAAAACTAGCAAGAGCAAGCGCTGCACTAGCACCAAACGAAAAGGTAACCTAATATTTTTTAACCTATCCAAAAGTGTCCTAATTTAAATGAATGCTTTTAACATCGTCAAAGTCTCCTTGTAGAATCGCATTGCAAGCCACGTGCCCACAGCTCAAGACGATAGGGTGAGGTCGAAAACCGAAAGCGTTTCCTTTGGTTTCTTTAATTTTTGATAGCTTTAAATTACTGTTTAAGCTTAAAATGAATGGTTAAACCACAAGTTTTGTTGGCAGGTGTGGAAGAGTGTAATAGCCATGTCATTAAAGTGGCATCCTTAGCTTATATTTCCCATCATTACCATCACAAAAAGACATACGATTGCCTGAACTGTCTGAAAGATTTTGACAGCCCAGAGTATTGCAATATGTAATGACACATTGTCTATCAAGGGCTTGGTCTTAATAGAACTTATTGAGATAATTTCATAAACTGGCAGTTTTCTTCCACTGACAAAAATTGTTACCTTTTATTGCTTTTAGGGGATCCAAAGGTAATGAAATGTTTTCAGTAAGAAGTGCTAAGTTTTACCATTACTCTTGTAGGGCTTGAATAATGATGGCACTAGAGGCTCACGAAGTCTACCGGAGTTAATGCTCACTTCCCCGTTGACAAGTTTAGCCATCCACTTTCAAATAATTTTCTGCCTTTCAACAATTGTTTTAGGATATGTCGTTCGAGTTGGCATTAAACCTTTTGGTCAATTTTTGTTATCCTCCTTTTTAGAGGAGGCTAAGTGTGTGGGTCATCATTCGACTAAAATGATGTCAAAAAGGTTATACGAAGAAATTCATACTACTAGGTGTTACAAGTAGCATAGTCATGACCAAATCAAATTAAATTACAGTTAAATGTATTTAAAGGCTTTCATCCATATTGACGGATACTCGAATAAACCATTTGTCATTGGGGTGGTGTAGTACTTTAAAGAATCATACTCAGCTTAAACTGAGGGTAAATGAGTGTTTAATTAGGATTTGCCTCTTTTCAACCTGAAACAATAGTATGTCTGGCATGATTTCGGAGTTACTCCCATGATAACTGAATGACATCAAGTCGATTTAATTTAAATGGCGTGCACAACGGTGACGTCAAAAGGGCGATGTCATATTCAATCAAGAAGTACCTAAAGCAGATTATTATAAGGGTGTTTTAATTTCATATTTATATCACTCGCCAAGGGAATTGTGTAACTACAAATAAACAACTCAATTTTTGAAGCGAAATTAACAATCAATAAAATATTTTAGATTGTATCATAATTAATTAAAATGTGCTTACAAAATCGCTTCTTCTGGCTTGACCGTGTTTAGGATTTTAATCCCCAGCGGCCTATGCTGACTGTGCCAATCCAGGCTAATGACAAGGTGCCTTAGAAGTATGCAGGAGAGGGGTAATGAATTGCTTGTTTGAAGAGTATCCAATGTCATATTCATTTACTTGCTGTAGTTTGAAATGCAAAACCCACTTTGCATCACCTATCAGTTAATCAGACAAAAATCTAACAAGAATGAGCTCCCACGAGAAGTGAAAGTGTCAAGCGGGGGGCCGCTGGCTTAGCTTCCACAAATTCATCCTCGAATGACTCTTCTTACTCATTATGTGTGTGCGTAGTGAAATGCAGGCAAAATGATTCATTTGGTGAGGTGATAGGCGTTGGCTTTCATTCAACTCTAACACTTGATGTGGGTGTATGCTATACGTTTCTTCGCCTCTTCACTTAACGCTAAGCAAACCGCAATTAAAGTTACCACCCCTAAAAAGTTGAATCTACATCCCTTAAGAGGGAATTCTTGAGGCATATCAGACTTAACTGACACCTTATGAAGGCTCAAAGGAACAGGAAAGTGGGTATCAGTACAATAAAGAGTTTAAATGGCCCGAGGCGCATGCCATGCGAAGCGTCATAACCCAAAGTGTAGAATAGGATAGGAAGATTAAGAGAAAGGTTTGATTTTGAGGACACGCGAATGATGTTCCAGTTTTTATTTGGCATGACTCCTCAAAATGTCACTCTACACTCTCACATCACGAGGCCAAGCGCCGGCATTTGAGTTTCTGTATGCCTGACAATGTTCGCTGATTATCAAAATCACGAACTTGGTCAAAGCAGTCGAGGCAATTTTGGTAACATGAGCATTCTCTCAGCTAAAATTTCATCTTTAATGTGCCACACAAAAACTGGTGACGTGTTTTAATCCAGCTGAGTGCAGTCCCACTCACGCCGCTCAAAGGTAAATATGAGCTTGCAGTTAATGGATCTTTTAAAAGTAATTAAAAGCGTGAAAAGTTCAATGTATTCAAGCCTGTAAAAAGCAGTCATTAATTGGAAGGGGAAACTGATGTCTCGTGAGTTAAACGCACCAACAGACACACACACATGCACGCATGCACACGCTCACACACCTCAAGAGCCTTTCTAGTGGTGAATTGATCACTCCACTCTACGAGTTGTCACAGTTACTTCCTTTACGAGACGTGCAGCATGGCCTACGGTCCAGAATCAAGTAAGTTCTACATTCTTTACCTTTCGTTCTCGCTCCCGATCCCCATTTTTTATCCTACCACCTTATGTAGAGTGGTGTACTTTATTACTTTGATCTCCAAGAAAATTAGCACACCGCCTCACCAACTGAAGGAGTGATGAGGTTTTTAGGCAAAATAATTGATTCCTTTCCTGCGAAAAATGACTTTTTATAGTTTTTTGGTAGAAAATATGCCTCTAGATTACTTCCAAAAGATGTGTAGTGGACAGCATAAGTGTAAACTAGCCCCTCCACTTTTAATGGTTGCTCTGCCTAATGCTTCACCATGTATTTAGCACAACCCGTAATGAAGTGGTTCAGTCAGTCACTTGTCGTGCTAAATTCCCCCTTTTTACCTCCCAACTCCGAATGATTTTGAAAAAAAAACTTAATTTTTCTGTAACATACCGAAAAACCAAAGCTTTCTATTTAAACAACCGTGTACGAAGCTCGAACCTAGTTGATGCATCTGAAAATGAAGCCGCAAATGCGAAATTTTCTTAGAAAATCCGGTTTGCAGAAGTCCAACAATTATGCATTTTTGGGCACAAAACTACTCGTTTCGTTTTAGGAAACTTTAATGACCTCATACCCAGGCACGCTCTCTTCCAGTCCGTCGATGGTAAGTTAACTCTTGGTTAGTGTTATCATTTTGCCCTGATAGTGAATTGGAATGGCAAGTGCTTGTGCTTTCTAAGAAGGGTAAGGTGTAACTCATCTTTTTGGCAGTATAAAAGAAAGGAATAGGGATCATAGCTGGTCTAAATTAACTTCCTAAGTAGGAAATGAAAATTGGCTGGTTCTAATTCCTATTTATGCCAATAAATTGACATTAAAGTATGTGACTGTACCTCCATGATCATCAAACAGCATGACCTTGATAGATGCTTTAGAGGGTGCAAAAGTACCTGAATGAAATACAAAGGTCCTAAATGACTAACCCACTTTAATGATTCGAGCCTAACACACCTTACTGCCGTTATTGCTTTTAGAAATCGACTTTGACAAGGCTGGTGCGTAATTCTTGCTCTCCACTAATTAATTATAATGTCTCTTTTCTCTTCTCTAAATACCTCTTCTCCTCACAATAACCATGCCAACTCCTCAACAGCGTCAGCATCAAAATGCAATGACAGGACTTGTCTAATCCCCTCACATTTTATCACAGTATTTCCGTTTGTTTAGCAACACTAAAATACTATACAACATTTCAGCTCTCATAATAAAACGCGATGATTACGGTAAGCAAACCAATTAGTCCCTTCCTTAATTACAAAAACAAGTTTGATGTAAGACGCAACTTCCACTCCTAGGTCAACCACTGCCGCATGCAGAGGCAGTGAGGACGCGTGGCAAATCCTGCATTTCAAGGTCGGTGCCGGCGTACCCATCTGTGAGAGAAAAAACCGCTCATCGATTGGCCTCCTTGGATTCCGACGGTTCCACAAGTCGCTCCGACTCCCCGGCTTCCTCTGCTTCTTCATTCAGGCGCATGGGGAGACCACCACCCCGAAGGAGGTTTTCAAGGTCGCAGGTTCGACGGACACCGCCAAGAAATATGTCCCCGAATTACAGCATCGATCGGATGCTTTCTAGCAGTCCCTATATGCAGTCGGAATATCCAAAAGCACATTGTAGGTGCCTGTCATTCTTCCCGAATAGCTAATTTATCTTTGAGATGCGTGACATGTAAGTTATTAACTCACTGTTCCTAGTCAAGTATGTATAGTACATTACAATACGAAAAAGGACTTTACTACCTTTGAGCTAATGGAAACGCATGAGACTCTTAAGTTAAATGGATTGCTCCATGGCGGACTTGACAAGAGCTACTAATTGTATAGCCAAGTTTGAATCCTATTATACTCAAGTCTAAGTAATTGTCATGTCACATAGTCATTAAAGATGTATCATCCACTCCAATGTGGACTGGACCCTACAGCCGCTGGAATGGAAGCGCTTCAACACGGAGCAAACGGTTAGTAACAAGAATATATGATGGTTTTTAAATTTTAGATGAAAGGGCACCGAACAGGGCGCCGACGGAGATAAATGGTGGGTAAAGCCCAGCTAACCTATTCCAGTTCCTTTTCCCTTATTCCAATTTTAAACATACACGAAATTTGTTTTCTTTTAGGTGAACCGGTCTATTACAGAAATTCTCGCCTCGCACATCTGGCAAAAGGTTGCTCCTTGGCTAGTAATCATCAAAGAAACGACATAGGCTTCTTTAATTTAGTCAAAAGCTTAACTAGCAAAGTTTGAGTAGCTGGAATGAGTAAAACCACCACTTCAAATAGCTTTCATACGCTATTACAGGAAATAATCTGTATCACATGGTCTCATCAGTGTTATTCCATAAAAATTCCGGAGTAAATGAATTTTAACCCCAAAGAGGTAAATAAGACGATTAATTTTATGGCCTGTAGGGAGAATTCACAATGCTCTGAAATTTCCTATTCTCCCTTCGATGATTGAGACCTGACAAGAGAAAATTTAATGGCAGAAAGTTGAGCACCATGGGAATTACTTGCCACAGAATTTACCGAAAATGGTCTTTCACAATTATTTCACAAAATTTTTTCTTACTAGTCCTTCAATGTCATCGCCACAATCAAACAGACTCACAATGAGCTTCATAGGATTTTCATATAAAGCTAACTTTTTCCTTGCTCCAGTCAAGCCGCGCCCGCAGAAGTTTACAGGTAAAAATTAAATTAATCTACCTCACTTTACTACTTAAAATTTATTCCACACTGATGTAATTGTGCTGTTGTTTTAGAGATTCCTAAGACACAGGCCAAGAAAACGCCAAAGCATCAGCCAAAGAGGAAGCACCACGGATACGCTAGGAGTGGGTTCATGACACCTTCTTTACCCGTCCGTAGACACACTAATTAGTTAAATGACTACTGACAGTCGTAGGTACCGTGACCTTTGAAACTGTTTCGACATCTTATATTGAGGAGTGCCTATTTAAAGTTGCTTATGCGGATACAAATCCATGAAATGGGTGACTTAAAGGGCTGACGCTATAAAAACCATGTAAGCATTCATAAGTGAAATTTTAGGTGCAATTTGGATTTGTCAAAATTTAGTAAACTACTCCTCACTTTTAACCGCCTTAGAGTGACTCGAACAAACAATCAATTACACTTGCGGGCAAATGAAGCCGAGAAGTTTTGAACAAGTCGGGATAACTGGATTAAGATTCTTGGATTAACTGACGCATGATTAGGCTAAGACACCAAAGGATATAAAATTCAGGAAAGACAAAGCGATGATCACCTTGTAGGGACAAGAAAAATTTCTTTTGATTGTTTTACACCATATTTGGGGACTATAAGTCGGGAGATTGGTTGCTTACCAATAGCCCATGACATTGGGTCGGCAGACTGGAGGTGGCGATAAGGACGACACTGATGCCTGAGTTTGGTCACACGTATTGGCATTCTGGTAGAGATGACACAACAATAGCGCACGAAATAAAAGAATCTCAACTTTTTGTCGTAGAATCCTCCACATCTTCGTCGTCATCTTCATCGTCATCATCGTCGTCTTACTCCTCATCTTCGTCGCCATCCTCGTCTTCGAGATCTTGTTCTTCATCCTCATCAACCTCGTCCTCGTCAGAATCGAGAAGAAGACACCATAAGTCAGATGGTGTGTAAAAACTCCAGATTTCATCTCTGAATTAGTATTGCACCGTAGGTAAACTAAGAACTCCCTAAAGCAACCAATTTGTGGGATAGCGTCGATATCATCCCTCGCAATTCTACTTTTATTTTTCCCCACTTGCATCATCCTATCAACGAGAGCTCGCTCAGTAGACTGATCTGGTGATGTGGACTAAAAATAGTCTTACGTTTGGACAATACATCAGATGTGACTGTACCAAAACCTCTGCCCCCACTAACATCAATTGTGTTACAGGACTACATTTGGGTTAACAAATACTCCTTTCAGATCTTTGAACACTTGATTAAACATTCATAAATATGGATTTTATAGGGAACCAAGTTTGTTAAGCCTCTTCCTTACTAAACGCTTTCTCTCTACAGGCCGAGCAAACCACAAAAGGGGCCACTCCAGTCATTTTCACGCCAAACACACTCATTTCCATTCAGATCACTCGAATCGGCACCACTCCAATCAACCAACGAGACAGGGCCCCATAAACAGTGAGTTGAACCACGATGGATGATTTCCATTAGTTAATGGCAGAGATCCCATCTCCCTTCAAATAGAAATCATCTCATCGAAAGGCAGTAAGAGTAAGTCTGAGCAAATGCAAAGATCTTAATCTCTGCCACTTTAAGCCACACAGCTTGAAAAGCAGCCTGACTTCATAATCCTCCTTAGCTATAACGCCTGCATCCTTTTTTGCAAAGTAGAAATCCCTTTAAACTTATTTTGAATCATAAAATGCAGAAGTAGCTTTGCATGGATATCGCTGCTAATTATTTGCGAATAATTTTTGAGCTGACTGTTTCAGATGCTCTTTGGGTTTGGTGGCATTACTTTACCTATTTTTTAGGAGTGCATTAGAATAATGCGGTGATTTGGCATTTTGTTTAACTGTACGCTTAACCACGCGGGCACTCCGGTCTCCATGGAGTGTGCATCTGCTGCTTTAGTTTCTTACCCCTTTGGGCAAACAAATGTCAAGCGATTCAAGCCGTTAAACTAAGTGATTAGACCAACTTAACTAATGACCACAGCCCCAGAAATTCAGGCTTACTTAAAAGCTTAATGTTTCATTTCCACCTGATTTTTGTTTTTTGCTTTGACAAAACGCAAATTGACACACGAATTGTATCAGTTGTCATACTTTGACGTGTGCCAGGGCCCTGCAATTACGCTTTGCTCATAAAAAGAATAAGATTTTCTCTAATAGCAAATGTTTTGTTTACTTGGAAGAACAAAACAATACGTCCTCTGAGGCATCATCCAGTTCTGACACTCCGTACCCAGACACCAGAGGTGAGTGAGCCTTGGTAAAAAAGTGGTAGCCACATTCGTAACCCTGGGTCAAAAGTGCCGAATGCATTCGTACAGGCTTTCTTTGACTACGTCTTGCTACAATAGGTGTCAGAAATAACGTCATGTGCCAAAAATGTAAGTTTTGTGTCATCCCAGCTAACATGTGGTTCTCTCATTCACTCTTCGGTGTCACATTTTAATGGAGCATCGGCGTGTGTGTGTGTATATGCGTTTGCCTAAATTAACAAACCACTTCTCCTTCAAAGAGCACAGCCTTTTGTGACAGAGCACTTCAACTGACCCGTTGGTAGAGTGAATAACTCACAGCAAGCTTGGCCATTCCCAAGTTCGCACTTTGTTACGTATTTTTCTCCTTTCATCCTCCACTGACAAAATGAATAGCTGAATTTGACACGCTGCAAGCGCTAATCCTGCAGCCTTTTTTAATACACGGGATACTTTAATAAATTGTATCCGATAATTTGAAATTTTTATTAATACCCCACAATCTTCTCTGCAGGTGGACGCCAAGCAACTCCTCGGGGAAGATCAGGTGTCAATCTCAAAGCTAATCACAATCTTGATGGATGCTTTAAATTTATGTTGCTTCTCTGATCTCCCTTTAAGTAACCCCGACCTCTATTAGGTTAATTGGATTCCCTTAAGAGAAGAAAAAGTAATTGAAATTGAATTATTAAAAAACTGGCGTGGTCATATTACTTTAATGCCTCTCAGAGTAATGAAATTTCCCTCCCACGGTAGCCTTTTAATTCAATACACAATCGTAGAGAAGATCGGGCTTCCACTCTTTAACTTGAAGCAATTACTTTCACATTTGTTGATGTGCCTCTCAACCTAAACTTTAATCAAGCGTGGGCTTCGTTTTTAGGGTACGAAGTAGTGGAACGCTCCGATCAGAGGCGTAAGTGTATCGCCTAGTTATGAACTGAAGCGAAAAATCAGTTTAACACTCGTTTTGTTGTAGGCGAGGACTCTAATGTCACTCAACTAAAATCAAGTATTTTGCATTGCCCTCACAACTTTTCGGTGTAGCTTAAGCAAACCAATTCTGCCTCAAAACCTTTAGCGATGATTGGTTAAAGCCTTTTTTTATGTGAAAGAAATCAGTTTAGCCCACTTTTTTTACTTTGTCATTTTGCTTCGTAGATTTTAAAAACTCGAGATCCGGGAAGCCCCAAAGTAAGATTTGCCTTTCCTTTGTCGGTTTAGCGGTACACCATTAACTCTGCATAGGACTTCAAAATATAGTTAACGATACTGGCGGTTTTTACTCAAAATAGCCTCGGTAAAGTAATCCGTAAATAACCTGACTCTGAGTAGTAAATAATTGATATTAAACAACCATTCCAAGATTTGCAGATCTCGACTTTTACTTGATTATGTCAGTTGAGAGTAAATATTCGGCTTCCACTGAATCTTTTGTATATTAATCCCGAACATCTATCTCAGTAGGTCCTGTAAAGTTGGACATTTTTGTACAAAATATCCACGAAGATGCTCGTGACGTCTACAAGAGCACTGGTGTAAAGGCTTTATAAGAGAATTTTGATTGAACTGTACCTCCGTGGGCTTGAGTAGTCTAGCATAATCGAGATTCAGTGTCAACTACATCACGCTCCTAAGGGAATCTCGCCAAAATGACTGTCATGCATCGTCGCCACTAAAGCGGCTATGTGAGACAGAAGTCTAAACTTTTGTTACCGCATTTCATTTAGCGGTTAAAATTCAAGTAAGTCCCCCGCCTTTAGCTTAACCTTGTAGACGCCTCCATGTGTGATGAACTAATTGGGGGCTGAGACAGCATTGCTTCCCTCCGAAACCCTCGTCGCCCCCTCGAGCCTCCCTATCGATTCATCAGAAGTGCCTCAACAGTGTATTACTTTTCTTATTTTGCAGATCCAAGGAGAATAAGCTCAATCCGGAAAACTTAGCACAGAAAATATGTGCCATCAACTGCATGACTCCGTTCCTTTTCATTCTACTTTTTATTTACTGAAATGCTGTGACAAATATAGGATTCCTGATGGAAAATGGCAGTTATTTCTTCTCCGTCTTGGCAAGGAGGCATCTTAACACGCTTAACTCGTGGAACATTTATACTAGCAAAAGTAGGAAAAACATGATGTTCATTGGTTCGTATAACTGCTCTGGGGCAATTTTATTATGCTTATTTTGTCAAAGTCGTTGTAATTATCATGAGAAAATTCGCAGTGTTCCCAAGCTAGTAATTGTACTGAAGAGTCCACTAAAAGCTGGAAAAAGAAGGTGGTAGAGACATTTCTTGTATAAAATATGGGAACACATGAAGCCAGCTTGGTTGGCTCAGTAACACCAACAGCTGGATCTATCATTAAGGAAGATGAATTAAGGCGTAACGAGGCTCTTCACAATTTTCCCTCTTATCTGATGAAGTAAGAGTGCAGTTTAATCTGCATACTGACCTCAATTTGAGTAGTCATGCTGTCACATATGTCATTTTAAAGGTCCGCGATGTGATTGCTTTAACTTTTGGAATCAGTTGTTTTAGTTCAGTAGAATGAGGTCTTGGCTAGCTTTACACAAAATAAACAATTTTCTTTCAGAAATTGAATTCTTTGAGTCTTCATGAAGTGTAACGCTCTTATTGCCTGAAGCCAAGTTCCACGTTCCGAATTTCGCTCTGGCAGAGTAAAAACAATTACAAAACAGCTGGTTTATCCAAGTTATTGGGGAATTCGGTGCTAAAATTTACTTAATAACAAACGATAATAAATACCTTAAAAGATTCAGAGAGTGTATTACACCATGGTTATAGTTAGAAGGCCTTTAATTAAAGGAATGGGTCATTTGGATCAGTTTTTGGGTAGCTATGAAACTCGGAACTTTGGATCTGACACTCATCTGCCAAAAAGGTGATTGACATGTGTGTCACATAACACGTTAAACGTCAGCACACTAGCCTGTTGACTGTGACAGGCAGCAGTGGTAGGAAGTGGATGCCACTGTTAGAGTGTTTTGTGACCGAAGGCGAAATTCTTGTAGAAGACTTCTACTCCATTCCAATGACAAGATTCTCAGTGCACTATTTTCAGTGACGTTCGTGCATCTTCAATGGACAACCCCGACTCTGGTAGTTCCCAGCCCACGGCAGTGATTCTGGTGCTAACATGACCGTAGATAAGCTTCCATCGTGATGTTGCATAGTAGACGAATCTATATGTGGGAACGGCAAAAACGATTAACCGCAAACATGTAAAATTTAGAAGCCTCAGACCAATATGGGTGCCAAGATGGCCTTTGCACCAATGAAGAAGTGAGGAATTGTGTCTTAGGGTGCTTCACTTGGGCTGACAAATCTTTATGCCTTTGAAAATAACCAATGTGTGAATTGAAAAATTGAAGTCCTTATTTTCATTACCTCGTTCTCTTCTGTAATGTACCCCATAGTCCTAATTGGACTTGATCCATTCCCATATGATGTAATGAAAGTGAATGAGGGGTTATTGTGACAGATGTGATCCCACATGAAAATCGCTGATGGAAGAATTTTTATAATGTCTGATTGACAAAGAGACCAGTGTAAAAAACAAAAGAGGAGCACTATAGGCAATGCCTTTTAAGGCTTCGAACACACAATGCCGCCGTGAAACAAACAATTTTGCCATCGAAATGCGGCATGCTAAATATGCCATGAGGAGGTTCATACAAAGCTAAATTAACTTTTTTATTTTTATTTTATTTGCCCAAATAAGTAAACTTGTTTTATTTACTTTATTCGAAGTCTTGTGATCTTTTCAAATATAAATTCGTCCACTCACAAATTTGTAGACGTTGCAGTAATAGGACTGCATACCCTCCTCAGTGCAAAAAGCATGATTTCTGCCAAATCGGCAACTAATTTTGGTGTTTTTCTAGAAATTCTTATTAACCTCCAGGAAAAAAATGTCGTGTATCTTTAAGTTGGTCCAGTTTTCCCCATTATCAAACCATCCAATCAAGTTTATTCACCCGACCATTTTAAGCAGCGTCCACTTAGGAGGTACTTGTCTGCAGTCAGTGGGAACGGTACCTCCAGCGCCTCCACTAGTAGCATCGGGTGAATGGGACTCCAGGCTGCCAGTCAGCGTGGTAATATGTTCCACTAATTACACTCCTCTCTCTGTGACAATTAACATTATAAGTTCACTCACTACTAGCCGGTGTTGCTGCTGCTGTGGCTGTCTTCCAATTACCATGCGTGCGCGTATAAGGGAGGCTGCCTCGTGGGACCGGCAACCAGTGCACCAAGTGCATAGGAAAACATGTCATCATCTCACGACCGTGGCAAGTTGCATTTACTATTTGCTCTTTCATTCCTTTCTCTGCCTTTCGATGCTCCTCTTGCCTGCCATATGGAGTAGGATTGATCCCTAGGCACGAGTGTTGCAACTTTTTGACTCATTTATAGTAACCGATACGTGTATGTGGGCATTCAAGTTTGACAAGGTGAAATGACTCTCTAATTCTGTCTTATAATGGTATCGTTCAAGAATGTCTTAAACCCAACTTTACACGGTATCAAGAGGATATTCATCGTTGATTTGATCTTCCTTCTCTCCAAGCCACTTCATTGTAGGCTGCAGTCATTAAAAAATTCTGCAATACCTTAATCCATTTGAGCTATGCCAAACAGCACACTTTCTTAACTGAAAGCACACTAAAAACAAAGTTCGTAAATATATTACTTTCTGACTCACCCACAACGATTTTTTTAAGAAGCGTTTTGCAACGTTTACGTTTTACGGAGGTGTCCTCTCCAAATGAGCACTGCATTACACCGCGTAGGCGTAAGAAAGCCTTAATGAAAGTTGTTGTTAAATGCCAAAGCACACAAGTGGTGAGAGGGATTAACTCCTGTGAAGATTTACAAGTTTAGGGGAATCACTAGGTAAAGAATGGTAAGTATGCTTTCACCTTAAAATAGAATAAATGGATAATATATTGCTCTTACTGTGATTTTAGGTTGTGTAATTAGTGACTCCTTCATTTCTTCCCTCTTTGAGGAAATATAAATTATTTTGAGAAAGAGTAATTTTAGAGGTTTTTGCAGATAATGCATCGAATAACCCACCTTTCCCTATTTTATGCAAAAACCAGAGGCAGTACTCAGTTAGATGTCTGGTATTGGGCAAGTCAAACTCCTTTAAATTTTATCGCATATCTGGCAACTATTTGCGGGTACTTCGTTAATGGATCGGAAGTCTACTTGATTGTTTAATATTTTAATGTACTTGCGTTTAGATGTCTTACGTACAGCCGCCAAGTGTAAGTTGATCAACCATTTTGGTTAAGCATCAAATAAGCCGGACTGATTTTTATGCACCACCCTTTACTTTCTGCATTCATTTCTACCCTCCTTTTGCCTTAGTCATTGAAAATGGATCAGAGCACTGAGTACAAGGTGTTGCTCACCGAATTCTCCACAGAGATTAACATCACACTAACCTAGTCGATGCTGGAGAAATAATTTGCCACAATCTAATTTGCAGACTGCAGGAAACCCAATGTGGTGGTTACAGAGAAGCAGTGTTGTAAAAAGATAATTACGGTAATGGAGGACAAGCCGAGGCGCAGGTCAAGATCGTGCGAACGGAAGCCCTGCAAATCGGAGAGACGATGCAGAAGTAGGGAGAAAAGCACCTGCAGGAAGCATCGCTCCTCTTCTAAACGCCATCGCAGCTGCCACCATCATTCTCGATGCAGTGAGCCCAAAAATGTCCTCTCCCATTATTAGAGTCTTCTTATTGCACATTGTTTGGTAAAAAAACTTCCCTTTGCATTCCAATCGTCTAGTTTAAGCAGCGGATTGGCGATTTTTGCACCTAACTCCTTCTTTAGTTTCAATCCAGCACATAAGAAATCATTTCCCGGAGCCAATAATTCCATTAGATTGGCAATTTTTAAAAAGAAAATAAATATAATTCAAGAAATTTTTTAAATTTTGACATTTTTAGACGTGATTTATTAGTACTTTTATTTGCTTGCCCACTCTAGAAAGCAGGCATTCAGATGCCATGAGGGACGTTCGTTTCTGCACAACCGTTGCGACTAAGGATTGTAAGTCCCTATTTTTAACGAGAATGCTGATGTACTTGTGGCTAGCTCCCTTAGACAAATGTTTAAGCACTGTTTCATTGTATAAAGGGAAAATGTATTAGTAGTGTTAGGGACCTTGAAGAGCACTATGTTTAAAGGACGTTCAGTGGGACCTCCCTTAGTAAATAATCTTCCGTATTTTAGGTGACGGCAAATTACATACCTACTCAAAGTGCTACACACTTCCGGTAAGTTTTCAAACCAGGGTTTTAAAAGCGTCACAAGCATTATTTAACCTAGTCGCTTTGCTCGATGAGCATTGTCTTGACGAAAAAGAAACTATTTTTTGTCAAAGTGACTTTTGCTGTCATTTATTTCAGATCTGTCGAGATCGCTGCTAGCTCCCTGCAGAGTGGTCTACGCTGTTTCAACTCGCATAGCGATGTTGTGTTGCTTTAAAAAAATACTTTTTACATGGTTCTGCCTGCATAAATAAATGTTACGACGTTCGGGTGCATTTCCCTTTATCGAGTAAAGCTTATTCTTCTCTCAGTGACCGCTTACATGTAAAACACATCTCCGGTAGAATGTTGATCGTAATGCGCCAGTTTGAGAACTCAGACATCACTCGGTGGCAAAAACTTTGCTTTATTGGCCTTTAAAGTGAACCTTTAATAAGGGAGGGTAAATAAACTTGAAAGCAGAACATGCAAAGGGTTTCAGGAAATTGCCTTATTAATCACTAGATGGAATTTCACCGTCTTTAATTTGATAAAGTTTTCACGATCGCGCAAACATTATTTATAAGCACTTTTTAAGGAGTAGTGAGACTTTAGCTTTCATTGTTCAGCTCATTAAAGTCTACATTTTTGTAGAAAATAAAATCAGCTTAAAACCTGCCTTTTTTCCTTCAAAGCTGCAGCCTAATGATGCCATCACATCTGATAGTTTGGTTTTCAATCAGTGTTTCACATGGTAGAGTTGGTGGATTTATGAAGATTTTGGTGCACGCTGGGCACAGGGATACAATACAGCCTACACGATTAATGGTGGGAAATTACAACCTCGGTTTCTAATCCAAACGAAGTTGGTAGAGCTGAGCCTCCTCAAATGACAAATTCTACAAAAATTTAATGCAAAGATTGGATTAAGTATATTATTTTACTTTGTGGAAAACTTCATTTCAAAACCAGAACATTAAAAGTCATACTATTCGGTACCATTGATGTTTTAAAGTTAGGCTAATCAGTACAATGCATTTTCATATTTGGAATATGTTTAATGTCAAAAAGCACTACCCTATATCACAGATCATGACATCACATTAGTGGCTGTGATACCGAATTAAATTGGCATTTGACGTCTGAGTGTCTACTCACCTCCATCGTCTAATCATTGGATTGGGTTTGGTGAATTTACTTTTAATTGACAACATTAGAAAGACTATGAAGGCATTTTAAAAAGCCAAGGATCTTTTTGCGCATCAGAGATAAAAGAATTTTGGTCCTAAGCTTATTCTGCAATAGGGAAAAAATACGCTTCTGTGAAAATTTTGATAATGCGAGTGGCACTAGGGGAAGTTTTGTGCAAGTGAGGCTATATTCCTTGTAAATCAATCATTTTACCACGGCAAACCTTGTGATTTACTTACAGAAACAGTTCCTGTGAACTTCATGAGGTGCAGCCTGGTTCCTAAGCTCGACAATTCGAAGCGCCCACAAGTAGTACCGCAAATGGGTCAAAAGGGAACAACAAATGAACCAAAGACTACCAATACCACTCCTTAAAAGCACTTTGTTACCATAGACTTAAAATGATGCAGGTTTTTCTGTAGTTTTCGAGCAAGTAACTAGTCTTCGTTACCCCACGCAAAGTTTTATCCCACATCCAAATGAAAATTAAAATTCTGATCAAACTGTTATGCGACCCTGTATACAAGGCTAAAAACTATTTTTATGCCTTGAAACGTTTAAAAGTAGGAAGTTTTGCCACTCAAAGGCTCACTTTGTTAAAGTGCTTTGTCTAGTAATTTTTTGGGAAGAAGACTTTGAAAAAATGGAAACCAATTGAGGGGTGACCTTAGATAAACAATATATTAAACTAACAAACATAGCTGGGTGAGCTTGACTCATATTTTACTGCATAATGAAATAAGCACTAGATTTTTCGACCATTGTACATGACGGCGAAATTAATTATTTTCTTTAAGGGCAGGTTTTGCTCTTACACATAAGAGAGCAAATGCAATTACCATTTTTATTTATTTCCTGCATCATTTATTAGGAATGCATTTCCTGAAGTCGGGTTATCTTCTCACAGGCAAAATGCTTGCGCAGTCTGCCAAATTGACGCGTTCTTAGTAAAAGATTCTTCCCCTTTAATTCTATCCCGAATTAGATTTATGCGAGAAAATAGAGGGGAATATTTTGTCATTTGGTGGGTAGCTGCAATGCGCGGTGGAAGCGCTGAGCTTGTAAATGGCAGACGCGAATTTCTAATCATCGACACCGAGATCTTTGCGCGCAACGTAATTGATTTAAAAGCTCTGTGATTTCACACTGCCAATTACTGGGAGACCTTACTCTCTGCTCGAGTCCGCAGTTATCGCAGGCTCCACACTTGCGCATCACATTCTGCAACAAGTTCGCTACCTTGGTCTGAAATGGAGCGCACAAAATACCTATTTGATCGTAAGCCCTAATAGGCTTATGACATTGGATACATATATAAACTACCTAGTCTACATTAATTGACACGGCGGAGTTCTACTCTATCATGCGTCAGTTACACCCCCTAACATCATTATCCCTTTGACATTTGAACAACCATTTTGCCCCATTTGTATACTGTCTGGGCTTTTAAATCTGACATTCATTTTCAATGTGCGGGAAGAGAAACTGATATTTAACATGCCGTAGATATTTTCCTGTAGCAAAATGGAAATCCTTTTCCTTTTTTTTTCTGATTTCAGGCGACTATTACTCAACCAAAATTCCGAAAAGGCCACTTGCATGCTACTCACTGAGCGGTAAGTTCCTGAGATGAAATAAAGTATTTTGTGGTACTTGTCCAATGTTTAGATTCATAAAAGTGTACTCTTCTGTTATTTTGTAGACATTAGCAATGATACATCACGATTTAGAAGTCTGTCGTCTTCCTCGTCAGGAAGCTCGAGTCGATGCAAATCCAAGTCTCGAGGGTGTCGAAAGGGTGGTGATGGAAAGCATGAGTCCAGGAGCCCAAAAAAAAGCAAGCTAAACAACCCTCTCTACATGAATTATTAAGCTTCGCTTAGTGAAGGAAATATGTGTTTTAATTTTACTGTAGTTGAAGTTGACATTCAATAGCTGTTTGGTGGCCACAGTTAAAAAATTGGAAAATTTCGTGCATTTCTGGGATTTAATTTGACTTCTTTTAATCCCTGAATCTCTCGGAAATCTTAGTTACTCTATCTTTTTCTCCTTTTTTAGCAGTGGTTGAGAGAGTTGTCGAAAGTAAGTCTCAGTACCCTGCTTTTCATTGGTCAAACCTACAAGCATTCAACTACCTAATAATAATACCTTTTCCTCAATTTGATAATTTTAGGAAGAATGACAACTATAAGATGTAAGATGTGACTTTGTTTCTTTTAAAGAAACTAGAAACTCGATTTGATTTAAAAAAAAAAACAATTCATGGTGATTATGTGTGTGGTAACAACTGAACGAGTCTTTCCTTTGACCACCTCAGGCTTGGATGACTCGCCATGCTATCGTAGTAAGTTTCCTCCTCCTTACCTCCACTACTTATAGTGCTTAAAATGTAGGCAAATGTCGTGATTTATTGCAAATTTTAGATTGTAGTGTTTGCCACTTTACATAATACTTTTCGAATAAAGAGAGAACTCGGGGTGTTGGGTGCAAAAAGGTACTGGTTTGTTAAAAATCTTACAAAAGTGGAAACTGTTGAATGAGAGCTCATTTTAAATTCTGTGTACAGGCTTATCCAGTTCTTCTGGCCACTATTCGGGAAAGCCATATAAAT